TGTTAAAAACAAGTTAACAGCTTACAACTTTCATCACACTTTGTAACATGTTGAGAAAAGTGTTAATCGTTGATGATTTCATATTTTACCTGTGTTTTCCATTGTGGTATAATTATATAATATAAAATTACCCACTGATTTGTAAGAGTCCTTTGTCATTACATATAATACAAGATAAGGCATGATAAACATAGTTATGTTTTTACTATACATTCGACTCACGTAAAATGTGGTTCATTTGCATTACAAACGTTTTGGATAAACTATAATAGGTATAGTTTATATTTCATATACATTGCAAACAGTTCTGTTAAACTACAATAGGTATAGTTTATGTTTCAATTACATTTCAAACTCATTACCAAAGGTTTTCAGTCATATAAACGGGGTGCGAACACAAAGTACCGGCTTTATACAAAGAGGGGTTTTTAGTTTAGTTCACATAAATATGTTAATGAATAAATTTGTGAGACATTCGCTTCGCGTTACATTCAAAGTAACGAAATCAAAAGTCTTGTAAATTGTAACCAGAGTCTCTTGTAGGGAGAATGTGATAGTTGTGTATAGATCTATATTGGGTTTGACAAACCCACACGTGAGCTGCATGCAACAGCTAGACCGACAGGTCTGGGGTGACAAGTGTCATTTAACTGGCGATGCCTGAAGAACATCGTATTACGAGGCCGACTGGGTCATAGTATGTTTATAATAACTCACATGGGGTATTAACAAAACATAAGATTTACAGGTTTTTACTTTTAAATTTAACGAGTTTAGGTCGATTTAAACTTGCATAAAATTTCTTTAAGTATGGAAAAATACTTGTGCATTTCGGTCTTGAATTTTAAGAGTACAATGCATTTTATAAGGGAAATATTGGATTTTTCTTGAACAAACATCACTTTTACAAAGAAAAGGATTTTAGCATCACATTCAAAAGCTTATGAACTCACCAACTTAATTGTTGACACTTTTTCAAAACTAATTGTATTCTCAGGAAATCAACGAAATCAAGTAACCACAAGCTTTTGAGGATGGAACGCTACGACGTTGAACAACTATTTTATTATCATGTTGTAATCAATCATTGAAATATGTAACACTTGAAACCATGTAATTCTATTTCGATTATATTTATGGTTGGTTGTATTGCTTTGATCACTATTATACCTGTTGTTATGATACTATACATGAAGTCCGCCACCCCTGGACGTTTCCACCATCCTTGGTTTGGGGGTGTGACATGTTTGATTACCAGTGCCTTGAATTGGAATAGTGGAACCATTACCAACAATAACATTTTCAGGAAGACCATTATTGATATAAGACGTGAAGTTACCTGTGTTGGGAGTCATGTGTGATGTTGCTCCGGTATTAGCATACCATGTCTGATCAGGTGGGTGTAGTGTCATTGTGTGAAAAGCTTGCTTAAGATCACCTGATGTGCAACTGATTTTTGATGTCGGATAGGCCTGCTGAGGTTGATTGCCTAGAATCCCAGGGTCAATTGATGGAGGTCTGGAGGACCCATATTGCTGAGTCGGATATGGGCAAGGGGGTAAGCCCATGTTGTATAGTTGGGAAAAGCCCAAAGTGGCGGTGTAGTTCATGGCTGATAGGGGCGGGACGCCCGATTGTATGTCTGTTGGGGTTGGTTATTGTTGGTACTGCGTCCACGCCCACTGGAAGATTGTTCACGAACGCATCCTCCTCGACCCCGTCCACGTCCGTGAGAGGTAGAGGGACCTACCTATTGTTGGTTAACGCGTACGGCTACTATCTCTAGAATTTGGATGAGTTATTGGTGCTGAAGCAGTCAAGGCGATAGTGGAGGTGCCTCCGGTTAGGGATACAGCATTGACAGCAACCTAATGAGCTTTTCGAGCTTCTTCCATGATGAGTTTGGAGTGAACTTCATAGAAATCAGGTAAGGGTGGTGGTTAAGTCTTGTAGAGACGAACTTGATGTCAAGGTATACAGCTCTAGTGCTCTGATTATCTTGAAAAATGTTTTCAAGGGCAGTCCATGCCAGTCTCTCCGGGTTAACTAGGACCATAAGTGCAGAATTTCAAAGTGAATCAAGATCTAGAAAAGGAAGTTTTCTAATTACTGACTCAAGCCCATTGTCAAATTCTACTCAGCACAATATGGAGGTACTGATGGCAGAATGACCCACTAAGGCCTTTCAGAATATGGAGGTACTGCCACGAAACGACTTATTAGTCGATTTATTGATCACTATGGAATAGGATATACATCACATATGCCGGATCAAGTAAAGCTCTGGTTTCCGACAAGCTACCGCCGCATCTATTTCATTAGGAATTGATGATCTTTTAACAATACCTTCCAAGCAGTGGTATTTTGTTTCAAAATTGTGTGCATCAAATCATTTGAGATTGTGCTGTAGATCCATTGGAGACCAATAACATCAAGTCGTGACCATGCTTCAAACACTGATGCTTTAGCTTTGTCGGCTTCTGTGGAGGTTGAAGAAGAAGAAGGTTTTGAGGGAGGGATGATTTTAGAATCAATGTGATCTATAACCTAAAAAGCCCTGCAATGGATGCGAAATAATTCTAGCCCTGAGGTGTCCTGTCCGCTCTCCATCTCCGGTATAAACGGAATGAAATTCCGTATGTTTTTTACTGTGATTGCTGGATGAGATTTTGGGCCCATTGAAGAAGAAGAATGTAACATCCCAAATTTCAGAAGTTTGAGTTAAGAGCTTAAAGTATAGATTGAATAAGGGACTCGACGAGTAGGTATACTTACTCGCCGAGTCGGAGCTGGATCCAGGTTATAGAATAAGTGACCGACTCGGCGAGTCGGTGAGTCTGGTCTGGATGAGAAAAGCCCTAATATTAGGGTTTGCGCCCTATTTAAAGGACCTTATGTCCTCTCCTCAGCCCCCACTTGTCGGCCAGAAGCTTCTTTAAGCGATTCCAAACCCTAATTTGAGTAAGAGGAGGAGGAAAGTGAGCTTGGGGCTTTTACAAGAGAAAGATTTGGAGGATTTGACCACTAAGGAACTGGAGGATTCAACTCTTTGGTTGTGAGCATCAGTTTGAAGGTAACAATCTGTCACTTTGCCTTTGTTGCTTGTAGATATTTTCTTGGATGATGTTTTGGGGCCATTTTGGCATGTTAAGGAACCATTTCGATTTAGAAGTCCAGATCTGAGGTTGCTACTTCAGATCTAGGCTTGTCTTGGTCTAAAAACTCGTAAAGTATTAGCCCTTGGTGTGTTGGTGAAGCATGTTTGTCTTAAACTCTAGCCCTAGAGTGTTTTAAGCCTATAGCTCCTTGGTTTCACGTAAAGTTTGCAACTTTACGTGAAGGGTGGGCCTTAGAAGAGTGGATCTACAGTTTGGAGCCCCTGCATGGCTCGAAAAGCCACTGCATGGTTTAAGAACTAAAGCGACTCGGTGAGTCACATGGGTGGACTCGGCGCGTTGTATGAAGATGGGCAGGAACTCGACGAGTTGGAAGAACAACTCGGCGAGTCTGTTGAAGATTACCTTGGACTCGGCGAGTCTGTTCTTGGACTCGGCGAGTTAGGTCGTAGAACCCTAACCTCTTTTAGTTAAGCTTTGGATCTGTGAGTCGGTTGGCGACTCAGTGAGTTGGTCAAGACAGAATTCTAAGATCGTTTAACTCGACGAGTCCTGGGGTGACTCGGCGAGTTGAGTCATATTATGGGAGTTTTCTGGGTATAGGAACTCAACGAGTCGACGGGTTGACTTGGCGAGTAGAGTCAATCAGGAAGGTTGACTTTGACCAGGACTTTGACCAAAGTTGACTTAGTTGACCCCGGGAGGATAGTTTAGTCTAAGTGTTGCTATTGGTATTGGTTGCTTAGGGAGCTAGAGGAGCAACATTTCGGAGAGTTGTCGGTTAGCAGCTGGAGGGTTTCGGCTGAGTTCAGCAGTTCAGGTGAGTTTTCCTTCCAGTAAGAACGACTCTATAGCCACAATGTCGACCCGTCTAGTTAGCAGTAGTTTCCGAACTTTGGTCCGATGCAGTAGTTCAGTGTGCTTGATGTCTCTGTGATTCAAGCATGTTTTTGTGTTATGTGTTCCGGACTTCGGTCCGATGCAGTATGTAGTATATGTGTTTATGCTAGTAGTTATGATTATGCTTAACCATGTTCAGCAAGTTAGTCCGAACTTTGGTCCGATGTAGTTAGCCGAACTTCGGTCCGATGCAGGGGGCAAGGCCCCAATTAGTCCAGACTTCGGTCCGATGCAGTTAGCCGGACTTCTGTCCGATGAAGGAGGCAAGGCCCCAGTTAGTCCGGACTTCAGTCCGATGCAGTTTCCGGACCTCGATCCGATGCAGGGGGCAAGGCCCCAGTTAGTCCGAATTTCGGTTCGATGCAGTGGGCAAGACCAGTATGTGCTTTATATGTTATTGTATGGTATGTGGTAGTTTGGGGGAGCTCACTAAGCTTTGTGCTTACAGTTTCAGTTTTGGTTTCAGGTACTTCCACAAGCAAGGGGAAGAGCTCGGATTGATGGCATGACACACACCACAGTTACAGTTTATTCCTGGGAGTTTTATTTAGCTATTTTGATATGATATTAACTTCAGTTTTGAATTGATACATTTACTATGGCATTTTGAGACATACGATTCATGGTTTTATTATCTAATAGTTGATGTTTTGATTTTTAGTAATATTAAAATTAAAAAATTTTGGGTCGTTACAAAGAAGAGAGAAAGAAAAAAAATGGCGTACAAGAGGCGGAAGTAGGGTTAATGATATTTGTCCATTGATACCATGTTAATTGGTATTTTTCCTGTGTCTCATTCCAATGATTTACAATTGGTATTTATACAATATCCTATCACTATCTACAATGAAGATATGGTCTATCAACTATAACAATACTTCCTCAATATGAGGAATGATATCTTCAGCTAATACCAATAACCTTATTTTCTATTATTCGCTCACTTTGATCACTACATGCCAACTACCATGTATTAAAATACTATTTCATTTTAATAGACTCATCCATTTCTTTACCTTGTAGATTTCATTATTTTGTAAGGATCCGGACTGAAGATTAACTTTTCAACAAATGCAACCAATAAACAATCTCAAACACTATCCCATATCATTGGTGGGTGTAGCAATTGATCATAAGTTCAATTACAACTTTACAAAGTCTTAAAACTACAGGATTACAAATAATACAATTAAAGGGAACTTCTGACACTTGTCTCCTAACTTTACACAGTTGTTCACATGCAAAGATTATGCTATCTACCTTGGCAAAACATAACACTGTTAGAAGTCTGATCTTCACTTGTACAAAAAAGCAAAGGCTGGATATGTGGCAAGTTGTACAGCAGGTTTAACATTTGCAAAATTTTCCACTTGGAAGGAATTAGAGAGGTCATCTACAGAAAAGGGTATGCTGCAATTGAAAACTCAATGAGTCATTCTGTTACATTTTTAGTGAAGATAAAGTTGTCAAAAAGAATTTGTGTTTGAATTCATTATTTTTTGGGATGGAGTGAGCATACTAAAAAAATTAAGAAGTTTAATGTGATTATGTGTATGCAGTGGTTGCTAAATATCACAAAATCCAAACCAAAGGTGTAGCAAAACTTGTGTTTTCGGCTTTTTCTTAAATCTCAAGAGCGACTAACATAGAATTTCTTCGGAAGTTTCTATTCATCATAGAGAAAGAGCAAGTATTATACCTGAAACTATCTTCTAATATAATGGATCTGTTATTGAAATCTTGTGTCATCAGCATCCTCATGCTTGAAATAACCTGGTTAAAGATAACATAATGAAAAAACCACTTATATATATTATATACCATGTTAAGAAAATAGCTTTAGTTCCTTAAAGATGAAATTTCACACGTAGAACTTACATCTTCAGATAAAGACCTTGTATCGAATTGGTCATCCCAATAAAGACTGGATATTCTATACATCTGCTGGATGCTTAGAACCTGAAAATAGATGAAAGTGTCAAGTCAAAGAATCAGAGTGGGAGAGCACATATGCATGTTCTCTCATGTGTTTGAAATTAGTTCAGAGAGTATATAGTTTAAATGTTTCATAAAAGCCCTTGAAATGATCTAACTTTTTCAAAACAAGTCCACTAGTTTGCATTCTATTATGTTATTTGTTTGTTATTCATGACTTCTTTTACCATTGTGCAGAAAGGTGTCAACAAGAAATTTGGTGTGATTGCACTTGCAATTATGTGAACACTTAACATATTCCAATGTACGTATATCAACATATAAAGTATACATGTGTGTGTGTGTGAGAGAGAGAGAGAGAGAGAGAGAGAGAGAGAGAGAGAGAGAGAGAGAGAGAGAGAGACTTACAGGACACAGATCAATGGTGATTTCATCATACGATAACCTGTACTTGTGATGCATAGTCTAAAGGTAACAAACACATGGAATAAGGTAGATACATATAAATAATTTAATCTGCTATTGGACAAAACAGAAGAGATGCAATAGAACCTCTAAGATACAATTTAGTTGGAAGGAACATACCATGCACTGAATAGCATGTCTAATATGCATAAGTTCACCCCAAGCTGGGCGTGCATACTGTAAATACAAAAAACAATTTTCAGATATATACTAGTCAATTAGAACTTGATTTGATCCGATTTGAAATGCAATCCTTTTTTTTTTCTATTTTTGGCTATACTAAGATTTTCACAAAGTGACTGAAAAAGTAGACACTCCATCGTTCTTCAAAAATACTAATGTTATTTGGCAACATTCGTTTCATTGAAAAGATGTGGAGCATAAATATACACAACATGAGAAAGGTTAAAGATCTAAGCAAACATTACCTCCACTCTTTCCAACTCTGCTAAACCTGCTTTTACATATTCACAGTAGCTGAACGTGCAACACTCTCGACGCACAAGAACACTGTAGAGTGAAGATAATAGCAAAATAATATATCTATGTTATGCTACTAGAATTATAGGAAACCAAAAGAATGTCTTGAAAAGAAGAAAAAGAAGGATACAGAAAGTTGAGTAACCAAACACCTATTAAAGAGTTGCATATTCATGTATGAGAAAACTTGAGGAATTATTTTCTGAACAATTATGGGAGGCACCTGAAACGCAATCACATGAGATTCCGTTACAGAAGATTGGAATCATTGTATCCATGTTTATCAACGAATCAAGTTTTTTTTTTTTTTTGCAAGTATCTTGAACAAACATGTAGCCATGAATGATGCACTTACAAAATTATCTTTTAGTGTGTTGAGACAACCAATAATGCCTTTCCAGTGATTGGACTGAGTATCTTCGCCAAAGGAAGTTCGTGGGGCCTGAATTTCAACAATTACAATTAATATTGTTACATGCATCATAGATAATATGAATGAGGATGAATCAAAGTACAATTACATGTGAAAGTAGAGGACCCAGTTCCTTCTTCAATTTGTCACAAGTCATATAGTACATTTTCTCTACACATGTTGCCAGTTGTTGTCTGAATAGTAAAGCGGGGTGTTTGGCATCAACTTGTTGTACTATATTAAGTGCAGCCTCAGCAGGAAACAAGGATGAATGAAATCCCTAAATAAGCAAGTAGAGAATCATAACATAAATATGTAACTTGCAAAAATAAAAATAAATAAACAAATCAATACAATACCGTTGTAAGCGAAGCTAGAGGTGGTGGATTTTGAACTAAACTTGTATTATCAAGTTTTATACTTTTTTGGATTAAGAATAACAAAGCAGATGCATTTGATAACCAATAGGCCATGTGATTGGTATTATCTTCTACCTGTAATAAGGTGAACCATAATTATAGTGAAAATTATCCGACAAAGGACAAATATTTTCATCTTTTAACTTTAAGATACAAATCAATGAATACGTAATTAACTCCAAACAAAGTCTTGGTATCTTTCTTAGAGTCAACATGACTAGATTAATATAGAAGGATAATGAAAAATTGACGCCATTGAATTAACTTGATTTCTACATAGTCGTTTGTTTTTTCATTACTGGACGAAGTACCTCGATTGCTGAAATATAAATCTGAATAAGTCGTTCAAAGATGTTGGTTTTTTCAGCTTCTAGATATTTCCAATGGAGAAGGCATTTGTATATGGTAAAAGCTGCAACAGGTATGCCATGACTGAATCCCCTGTCTGTTGTTACACACTCGATAAGTTCATCAACATTCTCCTGCAGCAACATTCAAACTCGTATCATATCAACAGTGCAAACCAAATCCTTTATCAATCAAAGAAAGGCTGATAGTTATACAAACAAATGACTTAACACAATGATTGAGGCCAAATGATAATTTTCTTAAAAGCAAACAATACCCATGACCAAAAAGATTAGGGCAATTTATCACGTTTTATGATAAATGAAACATTACAGTCTTGAACTCTTCTTGCATATGAAATTAGATTTAAAAACAAAAATTCTTACTTGAATACTTAATGCTTCTTCAATCCTCTGGATGATGGTGTTTGTCCTAGGACGTTCCTTTAAACTGAAACTAATGCATTGATATGCAATCTGTATAAAGGTATTAAAAGAACGACTATCAATCTGATCTCTTATATAGGGATCGATTAACTTTTCTGGTTCGTTTTCATGGTATCGTCGAACAAAATTCATGAGAGCACGAGGTCTATCATCTCCCATGTTCCTTTTAGAATAAACCAACATCCCACTCAGGATTTCAAACAATACCACCCCAAATGAGTATACATCTGATTCTTTGCTGAGGATGCCACTTTCTTGGTAGGTGGGATCCAGATAAAAGTGAGTCCCCGCAACCTTGGTGTTAGTATACAGTTGGGTATTTGGCTGATTTTTGGTACCCAATTTTGACAAACCGAAATCACAAACTTTTGCAACCAAATTCTCATCTAACAATATGTTAGCACTCTTTATGTCTCGGTGTATAACTCTTTCGTGCTCCTTAAGACCCCAGTGAAGGTAATCGAGCCCCCTTGCTGCCCCTATGCAAATCTTCAAGCGATGTTTCCACGTTATGCTCCGCCTCTTATCTGGGTCTTGGAGATGATAATCAATGCTTCCATTGATAGCATATTTATAGACTATAATCATCTCATTGCTTTCATTACAATACCCAATGAAAGAGATGATGTTTTCATGATGGAATCTGGAAAACATCTCAAGCTCGTTGCGGAACTCAATCTCTCCTTGATAGCTATCGTGATCTAGGCGTTTGATAGCAACTGTGAGATTCTCCCAGCGTTCAGACAGTTTTCCTTTGTAGACTTTACCAAATCCACCGCATCCAATGAATCTTTGGGAACTGAAGTTTTCAGTGGCACGGTTGATCTCCTCCAGTGGAATTACATAATTTTCAAGGTTTACAACTCGAGTCATTGTCTGTTGATATTTGTGATGATGTAGGGTTACAAGCACCAGTGGCTGTGAATAAATAATAATTCCAGTTTATCAGGGGAGGCGTAGCAGTGTACCTCTTTTTTTTTTTTTTTTTGGATAGAACATAAACCAACAATCCACTTTGAAGATGCGTTTGGCGCTTTATCACCAAAAGGGTGCATCTCAGTGGAACAGAAAGCCAAATGACAAAAAAAGCCACTTTAAGCCTCGCTAATAATTCATATACAGTCCATCGCTTCACATTTCATCTTTCCCTGTGGATATCCGGTGACCCACCCTTTCACCAGTGGAACTCCGGAGAACCTACAAAAACACAGCCTCATTCCACTGTAGGGATTAGACAGTGACGACGACGGGATGATAAGCCAGCTTTTTTATTTCTATCGTTTTTAGCCGCGGAGCCCATCGCTAGAAAATTAAGAGAGACACAGAGCTAGTGATGGTGATGGGAAAAAACACTTTAGGAGGGCCCTTGGCTGATTTGATTTGCTTCTTTATATATCACTAGGATAAAAAGTGATTTAATTAAATAAAATAACGTGGATAATAATAAAAATATAGGGTGTTTGTGATTTTGTTTTGAAAATCGTTTATTGATTATTGATTTTTTAAAAAGTCAATAAATTTAAAAAAAAATATTTGACTGTTGCATAAATATTTAAGTGAATTTTTGATATCCTTTAAAAATGAGGTTTCCACAAGTTTAGTCTTCATAATTTTTGAAGTGCTTAAGAGTTTATGACCTTTTAACAGTAATGACAATACACTTCTTAACGAACTCTCATTTTTTTCTTTTTTTTTTTTTTCTATGTTTTTTAGTCATTTTACAATTAAAATTTTTTTTTTGTCATCACAAAAACTAATCCAAATATTTTTTAAAAAACATTTTTTCTTATCACCATAAAGACAATAAACATTTTTGTCCAAAAACATTTTTGAAGTTAAAAAAACGATCCCAAGGAACCTTCTAGTCAGGGGCGGACGCAAGAATTGTATTGCATTTGTTGCACTACTATAACACTAATAGAGAGTATGGTAAGAAATTTCTTACCATACTCTCGGATCTCATAGAATACCGCTCATTATAGCCCGTTGATTTCATTTAAAACGCAAAAAAATAATTCTTTTGATTTGATTTTTTCAACTATTGATAAGAACTCAGAAGTCAAGTTTCATTTCAAGTAATTAATTATTTTGACTGACTGTTTTTACGTAAATGATAAGTAGAAAAGCAGTAGGAACTAAAATGAACAGTGCAGTAGCAATAAATGCAAGAATATTTACTTCCATAATCTCAAACAAACCAAAAAAAATTTCCTATCAAATATAATAAAAAAAAATAAATTACAAGTGCATTAATTATAACAAACTAGTGTATACAATCTTCATGAAGGGAAAATTGGTCATTTTATGGACAATCTTTTGCATCTAATAGCAAGTTAACAACCAAAAAACTTATGTATTTGAGCATTATTGATAGTGTTTTTAGTAAGCTACAAACTATAGTACTAGACATGAATATAATGGGTGACACCCACTATATTGAAAAATATTAAAGCATTTGGTATATGAGACAAAATTGGATGGGAGTCAACTGAACGGGGTGAAACTGGACTGGACTGATGTACCAGTTCCAGGTATATGCTTCCTTTAAGTTCATGACATGTGAGACTTTAAATTTTGAGGTTTTGGGTGGCCATGACATGGTGGGAAAGGCACCACGGCGTGGCCTCATCTGTTGAGAACGCACATCATTTTGGACGCCACGACGTGGCAGTGGCCAACATGCAAACGCTAAATTTTTCGTGTTTTAAACTCTATTTAAGGGATGTGATGGTTGTGGTTTTCTCACCCTCAACCTCCATCACCTCTCATTCGACCTAAAGCAAGCCTAGCCTCCATCACCTCCCATTTGACATCTTAAGGCTTTTTGGTGGTTTTTAGTTGTATTGAAGAAGAAAAAAAGAAGAAGAATGTATTCTTATCCAGCAAGCAAACCTCCTCCTGACCTCCTTGCATACATTTTGGACTTTTATAAGTCCTTAAGTTTCTACCTTTATGTGATATCCTTTTAGATATAAGCTTTTATGCACTTTTCATCATGTTTAAGGTGGTTTGAGTGGATGGATTCCATAAAGTTGGCAACTTTCTGGATCCTTAAGGTTCCTTTGTGGTTTCATGTTTCAGATCTGGATTTTTATAGAGTTTTGGTCCCATATTGAGGTTTTGACCTCATTTTCTCCATTATGGCATAACTAGACTTCAAGACATGGATTGGACATGCATGTCCATAAAGCAAGCATTTTTATGAGATATTTGGGTGTAAGGAAGCCTTATGGAAGATATATGTTAGTGGCTTAATGGATTAAGGGATTAAGTAATTAATCCGTTAAGCTGCATAGGAACAGTTCCCACGACGTTGCGACATGCTCACCACTTTGTGGTGAAAGGGGTTTATGGCGACTATTTTTTCGTGAGACTGCCACGACGTGACAGATGCTTGGCCATGACGTGGTGCCCCGCTGAGTTGGTTTTTGACTATTGACCTTGACCGTTGACTTTTTTACTAAGTTCCAAGGAGTGAGTAGTTGAGTAGTGGTGTGTTATCGTACAATGTGATTTTCTGACGTGTTCTCGGTTTATTTTCAATATGATGGCTTTGAGAGGATCTGCTTCGGGTGTTGATGGTTCAGAGAGGTCATGATTGAGTGATGATGCGATCGGAGAATTGATGACTACTTAAGTGACTTTGGAAGTCAGAGAGGCGATTCTAGAGGTGTATGAGTATGTTAAGACCACTTTGATTGAGATGTTTGATGAGCGTTATGTTGTATCCCAGGTCGGATGTCTTCCAATCACACATAGGGAACAATATATGACTAAAATAGATAGGGGTTAAAGAGGTAGTAGAGTGCATATGCAGTGTCCCAGGTCAGATCTTCCAATCACGCCGAGGGGACAACATATGGCTAATAGATAGAAAGAATTTCATAAATATGGATATGCATAGAGATAGAGTTGCATATGTTGCATTCCAGGTCGGATATGTTCCAATCACGCAAAGGAAGCAACATATGATTGACAGATAGAAAGCAAGAAAATAATTTCCCACATACCTATTTTATTAGAACCCCCCGATTGCCCTATCAATACCGTAATTAAGGACATGAGTCCATACATCAAGGAAATTTTGAGCCACAGTTCTAGATAATTAACTTTTAGTGTATCTCGCAGGCTCCCATGTTTATCTCATTGCTCAATTTACCCGAGCGTCGTATTGTCAGTCCAAATGAAACTATCTATGTCCATATTCTCTAGTCCTTTCATTTGTTAATCTAAGTATAGTCCTTTTGAATCCTTTGTGCCTACCAACACATTGAACACAGAGTCTAGACAATTCGGATTTAGTGTATTACATGAATTTTATATTGCCATTTAGCACTGGGCTCCATATCACTTACCAAACAATACCTACTAACGAAAAAATATAAGAAAGATAAAAGTGTAACACCCAAAGTTTTGAAGGCCAAGAAACAAAAGAAAACCCTAATTTTTAGGGGCGACTCGCCGAGTCCACTTGGCCGACTCGCCGAGTTGGCCTCATCTGTTGAGAACGCACATCATTTTGGACGCCACGACGTGGCAGTGGCCAACATGCAAAAGCTAAATTTTTCGTGTTTTAAACTCCATTTAAGGGATGTGATGGTTGTGGTTTTCTCACCCTCAACCTCCATCACCTCACATTCGACCTAAAGCAAGCCTAGCCTCCATCACCTCGCATTTGACATCTTAAGGCTTTTTGGTGGTTTTTAGTTGTATTGAAGAAGAAAAGAAGAAGAAGAATGTATTCTTATCCAGCAAGCAAACCTCCTCCTGACCTCCTTGCATACATTTTGGACTTTTATAAGTCCTTAAGTTTCTTCCTTTATGTGATATCCTTTTAGATATAAGCTTTTATGCACTTTTCATCATGTTTAAGGTGGTTTGAGTGGATGGATTCCATAAAGTTGGCAACTTTCTGGATCCTTAAGGTTCCTTTGTGGTTTCATGTTTCAGATCTGGATTTTTATAGAGTTTTGGTCCCATATTGATGTTTTGACCTCGTTTTCTCCATTATGGCATAACTAGACTTCAAGATATGGATTGGACATGCATGTCCATAAAGCAAGCATTTTTATGAGATATTTGGGTGTAAGGAAGCCTTATGGAAGATATATGTTAGTGGCTTAATGGATTAAGGGATTAAGTAATTAATCCATTAAGCTGTATAGGAACAGTTCCCACGACGTTGCGACATGCTCACCACTTTGTGGTGAAAGGGGTTTCTGGCGACTATTTTTTCGTGAGACTGCCACGACGTGACAGATGCTTGGCCATGACGTGGTGCCCCGCTGAGTTGGTTTTTGACTATTGACCTTGACCGTTGACTTTTTTACTAAGTTCCAAGGAGTGAGTAGTTGAGTAGTGGTGTGTTTCGTACAATGTGATTTTCTGACGTGTTCTCGGTTTATTTTCAATATGATGGCTTTGAGAGGATCTGCTTCGGGTGTTGATGGTTCAGAGAGGTCATGATTGAGTGATGATGCGATCGGAGAATTGATGACTACTTAAGTGACTTTGGAAGTCAGAGAGGCGATTCTAGAGGTGTATGAGTATGTTAAGACCACTTTGATTGAGATGTTTGATGAGCGTTATGTTGTATCCCAGGTCGGATGTCTTCCAATCACACATAGGGAACAATATATGACTAAAATAGATAGGGGTTAAAGAGGTAGTAGAGTGCATATGCAGTGTCCCAGGTCAGATCTTCCAATCACGCCGAGGGGACAGCATATGGCTAATAGATAGAAAGAATTTCATAAATATGGATATGCATAGAGATAGAGTTGCATATGTTGCATTCCAGGTCGGATATGTTCCAATCACGCAAAGGAAGCAACATATGATTGACAGATAGAAAGCAAGAAAATAATTTCCCA